GGAGGAGGAGGAGGAGGGGGTGCTCGTGCACAGCTCGCTGCTCGCTCCCTCTCGTCGTAAAATTAAAGGCTGCCTGCCTTGCGCTGTACTGTGGCGCCTCCCGCCAGCATCACAGCCCTCCTGCATCGGTAGCGTGAATCGGCCATCACATCATCGATAGTCTCGGCGCGGCGGCGGTGAAAGGGAGCCGGGCGCGCGCCTGCTGCTGCTGCTGCTGCTGCTGCTGCTGCTGCTGCTGCTGCTGCTGCTGCTGCTGCTGCTGCCGCCGCCGCCGCCGCCGCCGCCGCTGCTCAGCCCGCGTCGCGAGACGCGACAGGCGGCCGCGGCCGCGCCGTGCCTGCCATGCAGCCGGCCGTGCAGACTCACACCTCAGCCCTCTCGGCTCAGCCCGGCGCGGCGCTGCCACCGCCATTGTCGTGCGCTAGGCATCGCCTTGCCTTGCGCAAGCAAGCTGCCCCGCCCCGCCCCGCCCCGCCACTGCACACCACGCCATCGGTGAGATGACACTGTGCCGATAGTGTGCGGAGGCGGGGCCCATGATGGGGCTCCGAGGCGATGGAGCACCAGGCGGCCAGCGGCAGCGGCTGCGGGGGAAGTGGTGAAAGAGGTGTAAAAGAAATACTAAACGCGTCACAAGGAGTTGAACCCGAGGGCGCGGCGGCGGGGCGATGCACGCACCTCTAAAACTGCTTGTGATCTGCCGTCGCTGCCGCCGCCGCGCCGCCGCGCGCAGGTGTGGGGCGTGGGCGATCCGGCTCGCCCTACGGGCACTTGCATCGGGGACACACAGACACGCATACGCACACATACACACGGGCACGCACACACACGCAGTCGTGTTGCGTCAGTGCTCTGGTGCACTGTGCCTTTGGGCGTTGGGCGCTCTAGCGCACGCTTGTGTGTGTGTGTGTGTCGACCAGCAATCTTAGCTGCTCACTTGTCACGCCGTGTCAGTGCGATATGCGTAAGGGGTCGGAGCTCTGGCGACCAGCCCAGCCCAGCCAGCCCAGCCCTGGGGTCGCCCCCGCCCCCGCCGCCCTGTGGCCCCTGCGCCTGCGCTCGGCGTCGTTGTCGAACTGGACTGTACTGCACCGCATTCACAACAGCGGTACCGTGCACTGGCCCGATCGGGACGCTTATGAAACGGAGCCAAAAGCGGGGCGGGGCGGGGTGGTGTGGCGGGCGGCTGGAGCATAGCAGGGGCGGCTGAGCTGGGCCGGGCGCCTCGCGTATCAGATCAGTGCATCGAATCGGCCCCGCGGAGGAGCGAGCACCCAGCCCAGCCCTGCCCGTTTGATCGCCGCTGCTCGGCTCTGCTCGGCGCTGCTCGGCGCGGCCCACGACGGGTCGGTCTCGACGCCAACGAGTGCCTCCAGCCGTACACCGCAAGCACGTGTCGAAACCCTGCGGCTGGGCCGGGCTGGGCTGGGGCGTGCCCCGGGTCTGACCTCACGCTCGAGGCACCAGCTGCTGTCACGACGACGACGCCGCCGCGTCGGTGCCTCCCGCCCCGAGCGAGGTGCCAAGTGGCCGTGGGTTCGAACACTACTTACGGCACGA